AACAAAAGAATATGTTTAATAGATACGAATAAGCGGGCTCAAGTAGCTATTTTTGTGTGCGGGTGTGTCCTATTTCTAGATATTAATATTGTTGTAGATATAATAAAAATATATTTGCTTGTACATATATAAACGTAGTCGGTATGTAGAATAATATGTGAAAAAATTAGAAATTCATTGTATTTTTTTCTTACGCTTTTTTTCCTCTTAATTTTTTCTTTTTCATTTTTTTCGGCTTTCTCATTGCCCATGATTGTTGTTATTGTTTGGTTCTATTTATTTATTCATTTAAAGACAACACAAAAACGAACTTATCGTATTTTCTGTTTAACCTTTAGCTTGGACATTTCAACCACCACCATCTGTTACTGGTTGTATTATTCAAACACCTCCTCCTGTTCAAGTTGTACAACAACCAACTGTTAACGTTGTCGTTAAATCCCTCGTACCATTAAAAACAACTTCAACTACTGCAGCAGCACCATCTTTTACAACAACCGATAAAAAACAAAAACATGATGCATCTGTTAAAACAGTCAAAACAAAGCAAGTCAACGATACAACTCCAAAACTCGAAGTGAAATCCAAAGGATTAACAAAAGATCATCATTATCATTTACACACTCATCATCATCATCATTACAATCATGCTGCTAAAAAGAAACAAACATTACCTACTTCATCTCATCCAACGTCGACAGCCACTAACATTTTACATAATATTCCATCACCATCGTTATTGAAATCTTCAAATACAACAACAACAACCACTGTACCTTTATCTCCACAAAAACAATCGATTAAATCGACCATCGTCAAAAATGAACAATTAGTTGAAACAAAAACAATTTTACCATTGAGTGTCAATAACGTTGTGCAGAAACAACAACAATCAAAAAATATCTTATATCACAATCTAATTAATAATCGGCAATCCATGCTCTCTTACCATTCCTCCCCTCAACCATATTCAAATAATGACAATAATGAAGCTTTAAATTTTTCTATCAAACATTTATCCAAAGATAAAATGGCATCAGAACAACAAGAAACATGCACAAAAAAATTGGCATTATCAAAATCTCACACAACTACAACAATTAGTGGGTCAAAAGCATTAACGGTAACCAGTGATTCTTCCAAATCTACGAAGTAAGTGATTGTTGGTTTGTTTTCTGTATTTAACGATTAGTAAATGTGCTAACGTTTTGAGGCTTTTTTTGTAACGTTACATTTATCAGAATGATAAAAATTACAGAATTAAATGGATGATAAAACAGTATTAAGTAATTATAGAAGTTACATCTATGGCTGTCGCCAATAGTGTAGCTAGGAAGGAGGCCCAGTGGGCTTAAATCCATCCCTTAGAAAAATGCTGGCTACGCTGCTGGTTCTCGCATCAGAAGAACATGATGTTTTCTGCTTGTGACTACTACTGAAAAGATGCAAGAGAATGTGCTCTGTCAAACCAGTCTAACTTCGCAGTATTTAGTGTCTCAGCATACATGGTATACTTCATGTTTTGCTTACTTATTTTAGTGTGAACGATTGCTTGAATGAAAGACCCTTACCGTACACAATCAATTCAATAATATCTTCGTCAAATTCAAATGGGAAAGTGTTAACCATTTCAGACAAACGTAGTCCATTTGATCAAGTTCGAGGTACACCAGCACATTCTCTTGGCTCTTCATCATTATCACAACAGCAGTCAAAGCATTTATCATCAACCAATACATCGTCGCTTATTCAACCGATTATATCACCAGTCTCCAACATTCTTGGTGATTCACCAAAAAAGAAAACAGAACGACGTGGACGAAAACGGCGAAGTATATCAGCAACAAGTGCTATCACGACTTTTGGAGGAGATTTTAATTCGACGACTCCAAAAACCACAATCATGTCACCGGTAAAAAGTTCTCGTGCAACGCGTGCTAATTCATCGTCAACAACTATGACAACTACATCAACGCCGATTAGATCAAAGTCAACGTGTGCCGTCGACTTGAGTAGTAAACATGCTCAATCACCCTCATCTGGAAGTACGAATATTGCTAAAAAACGTCGTAAATTTGTTAGTAAATGGATATTATCTGGAACATCAGAAATGAAATTAGTTCCTAGAAACGTAAGCATTGACTATTGTAAATAATTATATAATTGTTCGTCTTTTATTTGCTCTGTTTAGCCTGAAAGACCTCCTGTTTATCGTGAATGCTATCCGTCTATTCAACATAGGACCCAAAATGATATTATACAATCACAGGATTGCGTTTTATTACGTCCAGAAAATCATACCAAAGGAGCCACACCCTATCTTGCTAAAGTAAAATGGTTCTGGGAAGAAAAAGAAACAGGTAATAGAGAGTGAAAGGCATCAGCTAACAAGACATCTAATACAGGTTGCGTTTGCACATATATCGAAAAGAAAAAGTATGAGTATAAAGTATTTGACAGCAATCTTTCCTCGAGAAAGGAGAAGCTATTAGAATAGTCAATACCTACTTACTTACTGGCTACAGTTACATGGGAATTTGTTCTTATGTTTATCGGTATGCAGCTGTAGTTTGTTGGTTTGATTCTTACACCTAAACAGTAAAGGTTTTACTGTAAAACTATCGTAAGAGAGTACTTTTGCGAAAAATGTCTAATTTTGATTTGTCATAGTCCTGTTCATGTTTAGTTGTAACTAATGTGACATATCCTTGTTTTTCCTTTATTTTAGGTGAAATATTAATGTCGCTTATATGGTATTATCATCCCGAACACACGGATTTATCGCCACGTATAAAAGAACATTTTCAACCAAATGAAGTACTTGCATCGAAATATTGGGATACAGTGAGCGTTGCCTGCATTGAAGATAAATGTTATGTACTAACATTAAATGAATATTGTCGGTAAGTTGCTTATTTAGCATTTTTATCTTGTGCTATTGCGATTTAATGTTGTTTAGATATCGTGTTCGAGAAAAGTTAAATATTCCTCAACCGTGGTTATTTGAGTCTGATACAATTAAACAATTAAAATCTATTTTAACATGTTCTCCTCTTTCTCCCTCATTCTCAACAAATCCACCTGATACAGTTGAACAACAAGACTCTCATAAAGAGAAAGAAAAACAAATAGAAACAACTATTTGTCGTCTATTACCGTCGAAAAGTGTTGATAATCAAAATATTTTTTTTTGTCGATATGTTTATGATTTTCGACAAAAACGAATATTAAAAAATCCGAATATAAACAATAATCCGAGTATAACGAACAATAATATATCTTCAATGATTACAACTAGTAATACGAGTTTAATTTCCAGTATATCTGTGTGAATCTGTGCTATGTGCTAATTCGTTTTTTTTAGCAGTATCTCTCTCTTAAGTAGTTCTCGCATTTTTATTAATCGGAAATTTGATAATAATATCGGTCTTATATGCCGCTAAAACACCAAAATCTGAGTCTCTTCGGAATTTCAATAAAGGTTCAGAAAAAGAGATAGTTCTCCATCTATTTTAACTTGATCTCTTCCATTCAAAAAACTTTTAACTGAGCTTTAAATCGTAAGCCATCTGTTGATTTTTAGTTTTTTGTATTTTTTTTTTCAATTATTCTTTACTCCAGAAAAATTCATATATACAACCTACAGAGAAAAGAGACAACTTCTGTGATATAAAATGGTTGCTGTTTAATTTTAAATCGTTGCTTTGTTGTTTTAATTATCCAGAAAGGCACCACTTCTCTTGTCTCTATTTTTTGTTCAATTCAATCAACTTTATTGTTGATATTATTGTTATTAATTTATTTCTGGTTTTTTCTATCTTTGTACAACAACTATGTTATAAAAACTTCTGAACTGGTATTTATCTCATCTATATATTTCTCATGGTGGGAATATCTCTTTTTCTCTTTCTAAAAACCAGACAATTTTGCTATTTAAATAGTTTTTGAATCGGTCTAACTGCGTCTGTTTCATTCACTTTTTTTTGTAAACTTTATTCTTGTACAATCTTCTCTTCTCTAAACCGTATATTACTTTTATTTTTCAGTTTGATTTTGTTCATCTAGCATCGTGTTTTGAACGCGCGCATATATTCATCAGAGGATTTTGTTTGTAAGTATGTGTTCTCTCTTGTTTTTTTTTCTGTGTTTTGCGTGCACATTCTATTTTATTCAATCATTGGATGATTTTCTATTTAAATATACACATAAATAACTTATTTTTCAGAAACAACAAGCCCGAATGGAAAGGAAATCTCAACGATAGTATTATAGACCGTTAATTAGATGTATCTCTTATTTATTTTTAGATAAGAAACACTTTAGTGTTTGATTATGTCAGCAAAAAGAGGTCGTGGTGGTGTTGGAGGTGGAAAATTTCGTATTTCGCTAGGTAATTTAAAAGTTCTTGATTTAGTAGTTATTTGTTATATAATTCTTTCTAGGTTTGCCTGTGGGCGCCGTTATCAATTGTGCCGATAATACGGGTGCAAAAAATTTATTTGTGATATCAGTGAAAGGTTTTGGAGCAAGATTAAATCGTTTGCCAGCCGCATGTGTCGGCGATATGATTATAACCACAGTGAAAAAAGGTAAACCCGATTTACGTAAAAAAGTCATGCCAGCCGTTGTTATTCGTCAACGTAAACCATTTCGACGAAAAGATGGTACATTCATTTATTTTGAAGATAATGCTGGAGTTATCGTTAATAATAAAGGAGAAATGAAAGGTATAGATACATTTTCTGTAAATATCAGTATATATTATCGACTTTGTTTTTACTTTAGGATCAGCAATAACAGGCCCAGTTGCCAAAGAATGTGCCGATTTATGGCCACGTATTGCGGCAAATGCACAATCAGTCGCATAAATAGAGAAAAACGAAAAAAATGCTTTTATTGTATTTTGTTTTTTCCTCATGTGTTTATAGTAAAAAAAACACGTTATGATTGATTAAGTTTTAATAAAACAAACGCTATTAGTGAAAGCATTTAATTAGTTCTATAGTCGCAGTATAGCCACTATACATGTTTGACCTCAGGAAGAGAATATGTGTATAAGTGCTTGCGTATTTTTTGTCCACTCTCATTTAGAGCCCTGCAGGTTACGACTTTTTGGCAACCTATAACCTAACCTATAAAAACTTTCACAACCTAAACCTAACCTAACCTACGAAACTCGTAACTTAAACTAACCTAACCTATTAATGTTTTTCGTAACCTAACCTAGGTTAACCTAATACAACCTTTTGCAATTTCTTCCCAAAATCTGGCTTCAGAAGCCTAAACTTTACCTTTTTTCCATATCGTTATTGCTTTTTATCTAAACACCGTCTGAAAGTTAAGCTTGTACAAAATAAATCACATTTTACATGAATATAGAAATGAATCGACTGAGTCTTTTATTCTTTAATGCAATCTTTGAAATAATAGCTTTCTGAATAGGAAGACCCTCTTTAGAGTAGACCAGAATTTCACTTTAGGCTCTCGACGCTACGAAGGTTCTGTTATTGTTGTGTATTTGCTATCTATTTTTAGCAAACGGAAGTTTTTTCTCTGCACTTCCTTTTTTGATTGTGCTATTTTTCAGTTTAAATTAGAGAACCTCAGTCTGAACTCATCCTCAATCGATAAAATTCCACTTGGACTACACTTTATTACTCAAAGTGTTGGCTCTTTTAATGTGGTCATTCAAAATCGGTTTCCATTTAGGTTAAAAATAGGTTATCATGGCGTAACCTACAACCTAACCCATTAAAAAATTCATAACAACAACCTACAGGGCTCTACTCATTATGTGCGATCTTCTTATTGTTATACATGCATAAGTAACAATCTATACATGTTGATGAGTGGTTATCTGGGTGACAATAAGATTGAATTTTTAAAAGTGATTAAGACCCATTAATCTGAGAAATTCAAATAGTGTCCGACAGATGCTGTCATAGATTTGGTTGAAATTTTTATCAGATGTATAGATCTGTATTTGTCTATTTAATGGTAAAAATTTGAGCGTTAAAAGTGCAACAACAAATTGCTATCGAGTTATAGAGACTGCGAGAGGTGGTGGTACCACAAACCAAGAAAATTGTTCAGTCATAAAAATGAATTTTCCTCTTCGTGTTATACTCTGACTGAACCAAATTTTTTAACACAACTTTATATTTTGAAGTAAGTGCTATCTTTTCCGCCGACTCTGACATCTTACCAAATAGCACGTCTCACTTGTACAGTTGATTTACGCGATGGAACGTAAAATCTATTTGTCTCTATTGTCCAGGATTCTTTCTTTTGAGCTTGATCTCAAACTGTAGCTCACACCTGAAGCTATTCAAATGTTTAAAAAGCAGCTTTCTCAAAGAGTTTAAGTAGTTGGTTCTTTGAAAATCAGGTCTCCAGAAAATCTCCCAATCTTGAGAGTTCTCTTCTACATTCATCTCAATTTGTCTGAATTATAGCTCATAAAATTCCGAACAAAACGGGACATCCTGGGCTTTGTACGACTTTTTTACGGAAAATTCATTTCTATAACTGAACAACTTTCTTGGTTTGTGGCGCCACCTTTCGCAGCCTCTATAACTCGACAACAGAACAGTTTTAAAAGCTCAAGTTTTTTCCACTATTAAATAGATAAATACAGATCTGTACATCTGATAAAATCTCAACCAAATCTATCATACCAACTAAATGACTCCTCATCAGAAAATGGCTCTTAATATAAAGTAAATAGAAAAGAACCAACTTCAGATAGTTTATCTACAACTATTAGACTCTCACGTCATATTTTTCCAATCTCAGCAATCAATGAAGAGCCATGAGCTCACTTAAGAAAGAAAGATTAACCAGGTACCTACTATACTTTGCAAAAGATCGCAAAATCTATTTAATGGAACAATAATCAGAGATAGGAAGAACAGTATACTACAGAACTCAAATTAGATTTGTCGAGTTCTTTCTTACTAATTTATAGTGGTCTGTCTAAGACATCTGTTATTGTTGTTAAAATTTAAAAAAATATTAAAAATATTTCAGTTATGTCATTTAGAATACTTATACTGGTCAACATTCTTGCACAGTTTTTGGTAAAATTCTTGTCTCTTCACATTCTTTCCTCTTTTGCTTGTCATTCAGTCGACTTAAAGAAGAAAGATGTTTTTGTAGAAAACCGTAATAAGCACTTAGGGCTTAAACAGTTTCCTCTAATAATGAATATTAAATAAAGTCCAATACACTAACAAAGTTTAATAATTTATGATATAATTTTGAAGGAAATATAAATTTAATAATAATCAACTTCGGAGAACTGATGTAAACTGAAATTCGGTAAAAAAGTTGATATAAACACGGTTTAATAGAGAGAATTTTGCGTATCTTTCGATAGTTTTGAAAAGTAATAAATTTTAATTTAGTTTGTGCCGACAGGTCATGTGTTCAGTAGCATTAATATCAAAGCGATTTTCTCTGACATTTTGAGGATCACTCACCAAGAGAAAAAAGTTTTAAGTTTTTTTGAAAAGAATGTGGTTCTGGATTTTTTCAAGGTGTTCTGGATCTAATGAAATTATTTTTGTCGCTTCAGATATGAGTTTCTTCTTAAATTTGACCGATCAGGTTCTTGTTAATTATTTGTTACCAACAATATTCATTCTATCATCCATATCTGTTTTTATATCCAAAATTGTTTTTGATACAAAGGTACCATATGGACGTTACAACTTGAATGGAAGTGGCATTCCAGCAAGACTGGCTTGGTTTTTACAAGAAATACCGTGTGTTATTGTACCGTTGATTATTTTATACCAGACGTACGATTTACATTTAAATATAAATGTAATTAATGTTTTATTTATGATCTATTTTCTTATTCATTACTTTCAAAGGTTTGTGAAGCCATTTTTTCTAGTAATTGGCAATAGTTCAGATAAAAGAAATTTTTGTTTTATCGAATCACATTTCACTTATAATTTCTACCGTACTGATCGCTGATCTTGTTTGTTACTGCAAAGAATCTGCAAATGTATCTCGATAAATCAGTCAACAATCTTTTTTTCTGTTTTCTAGCGATTATCTTAGTTCTTATTATCTTTGTTTTGCTAGAAGATTCTTGACTAGTTTACTATGATTCTTCACTAATGAAAGATCATTTTGTTGTGCAGACTCCTATGCTCAATCAAGTAAGCAAGCATACATAAACACAGAAATCTTTTAGTTTCAAGCAAGATTCTTGTCTAGATAGAATTAAGCCTTTATAAATGTCGGCACGAGCATGTATATACGTATTCTATATATATATATCGAACAATACGTAAATAGAAACTGATATGTAAGCCGCTTTGTCATTTACAAGATTTTTTGTTGTTCGTTCAAACTAAAGATTCTTGTACAATGATACGTTCAAAAGAAAAAAGGCATATCTCTGTGTTGTTTTTGCATAACCTCTTCGTTTGATCAGTCGATTATTTCTAAAAGATATCTGTATCATTTTAGGGTATTCATTTTTCCATTTTTGATTCGTGGCGGTAAACCGTCATCCATCCATACAACATTACTCGCATTTATATTCTGTTCTTTAAACAGTTATATGATTGTAAAACAACTTTTAGTTTATCAGACATATCCCGCACATCACTGGTTCTCAATTAAATTTATATTAGGTACATTCTTCATTAAATAAAAAAAATGATATTGAGTTTTTCTGCTTTTGTTTTCAGGCACATTCATATTTTTTACTGGTTTCATATGGAATATTCAATCAGATGCTATTCTTCGTAATTTACGTAAAGATAATGAAACTGATTATAAAATTCCCAGAGGTAACAAATAACAGACAAAGTTTTCTCCTCTTCTATTTAACTCACTTATGTTTAGGTGGTCTATTTGAATATGTATCTGGTGCAAATTTTTTTGGTGAATGTGTTGGTAATAGAACTTAAATTTAATCTTCTCTCAATTTCTTACAGTAATTTGTGATTGTTATTCTAGAATGGACTGGTTTTGCACTAGCTACATGGTGTTTACCAACATTAGCATTTTCTATATTCACTTGGGTATTCACGGGTACACGTGCTATACATCATCATCGGTAAATATTTCATTCTGATCGTATTAAGATTTAGTGAAGAATTAATTTTTCTATTTCTAGATATTATCTTGAAAAATTTAAAGATTCTTATCCAAAAAATCGAACTGCGTTGATACCATTTATTTTGTAATGATCAGAAACGTAGCCAAAGTTTGAGCGTCAGGAGGCTAGGCTCACTCTCTTATTTATTGACTAATAGGCCTATCCCTATGACAATTATTGAGATGCATCAGTGATAGTGATATAGTACTTTTTCTTTTATTATTTGTATCAGTGATAAGTAATTCTTTTTGTTCTCGTTTGTTGGATCAGTTTGTTCTTCATTTTTTCATATGCTGCATTGTTTATTTTGCATTTACTATACCGGTACATAGAAATTTATAACAGTATATGAATTGATCTCTATTTTTATGAATTAGTAAATATTCAAGCAATATGTGTGCTGAAATGATGTATGTTTTTCTTTCGAATGTTATTGTATTGTTGATTATTTTTATTTATATAAATGAAGTGCTAACAACTTCATTGTATTAGTTTGTGACCTTCTACACTTTTTTTTCGAAAGTAATAGTGATGTTTTTGCAACAAACAAATAGATGGACGATTGAAACGATGAACAAGGAAATGTTTAATTTTTTATTACGTACTAACGATTGAAAATTTGAACGAATTAGTTTAGTATGCGATTAAAATCAAAAATTACTTATAGACCCACTACTCTACGTCCAGAAAAAAATTCAAGAACTTTTACCCTTTTTGTTCAAACCTTTTATTGCTATAATCATCTGTTTCTTGTACCGATTGTGAAATAATTTATCGGCTTTAAGATAAAATTTCATTTAATTTCATGCAATTATCGTCAGATAAAACCATGTCAAGTAATTGTAAGTATTGAACATTGTTGCTTATTTAGTCTACTATACCTTTTTTATTGACAGATATAAAAGAACAATCATTTGAGGAAACTGATCTTGTTTGGACTAAATATTTAACTCATCCATATTGGCCCGGCATAGTATATGATGAAAATCATTCTGTTTCAAGAATGTCAGGCAAGTGCAGATTTTAAATAGATCTTTTTCTAAAAAAATATTCTCTTGAAATACAAAATGTTTCTAATCGAGAGATCATTTATTTCTTTTAAAATTTCTTCAATTTTTAAATCAATTATTTTAGGTACAAAAGCTAAACGAGAATCGTTTCATGTATATTTTTTTGGTGAAGCGATAACTCATGCATGGTAAACGGATTACTATTTTATCCAATAGCTAGTGCATATTTTATGGTAATGTTTAGGGTACCAAAAAGTTCGTTGTACAATTATTCTAATGTTAAAGAATTTAAAGAACGTTTATCATATCTTAAATTACAAGTAAATATTACTAAATCGTTGCATGATAAATACGGCAATTTTTTTCATATTTGTTTAGGCAAAAACAAAGAGAGAAAGAAAACAATATGAGACAAATATATCCGCTTCTCAGTTGGAATCATACCAGAAAGCTGTTAGTCAAGCAGATAAATTTGTTTATCTAGATCCAGACGAACGTATTAAACAGTTGTTAGAATTATTAAATAAAACACACCGAATTTATTCGATGTTTGACGATAATTATGACGATACGAAAGCAAGTTTATTGAAAAAAATATCTCGTAGTAAGAGCTGTTCAATATATTAGAATGTAGCACAGAAAACAAATATCAATAAGAGTAAAATCGATTGAATTGCATAACTTCGATATGTATACAGTATATAATAGACTACGAACAGTGAGTTTCCTTTTGTAGTTGACTAAAAAATTACTCATGTACGAAAAAAAGCATCGCCCAATACAATTCAATCGTCACTTCACTAATTAATGTATCTAGATGCAGATAAATATTTCTCTTGATAGAACTAGATAATATCATTCATGAATTGATATTTACATCAAGTTAAACTTGGTGCATCTAGTTGTATTGACCTATGTATTGAGCAATAGAACTAGATAACTTAATACTTTATCTGTAGCATCTAGATAAAAGAGTAAAAAATATCGAACAATACGCCAGCTAAAGTATTTAGATATTTTGATTTAGATAAGGTGATGTATTCGAATAAAATATATTTGTGCCTTTCGATAGTTTAAGTGCTGTACGACTCTAATAGGATTTATCTCGCTGCATTCTAGAAAAATAATGCTTATAGCAACATATTTAATTTTAGATGCTGATGTTGATAGTAGCCAAACAGATAGTGAATTTATAAATCATATGATTACTACACCACCAGCTAAAAGAATATTAGAAAATAGTAATAGTGATAATTCATCGAACAAGAAAGCGAAGGAAGATTTAATCAAACAAGAACCACAAATACCACAAGTGGTGAGAAAACTATGTATTTATATATCAGAGATGGGACTCATTTAAGTTTTTCAAAACCAAACCGAACAGAAATTTGAAAAATTTTTTTTGAATAAGAAATGGGTAAAAAATTGTTACGGATGTATAGAGCTGCGTTTTCCATCATATAACATCTTTTCATTCTTAAGTGGGGATTTATCTTTGGTTAGCAATAACCAAATCGTAACGTGAATCCACAACATAAAATGTTCAGATCATAAGTCTGTGTTTGTGAGAAAACAAATAGTCAAAACAATAGACGTGAATAGCGTGAGCAGCGTGTGCATTCGTTTAATTTCAAACACGAAGAACTTGTTTGTACTGTTATGAATGTTTGAATACAACATCATTTCCTCTTTCTAATGTGATAATGTTGTCTGTCAAACCAAATTCTCGCACAAGGAGAAACATAAAATTTGAACAATGAGAATGAAAACTATTGATCGATGACTCTAGAATCAAATAATATATTTTTGTATAGTACAACAATTGAGTAGGAATAACTTTTTAAATGAATGATAATATATTTGATATTTTTAGCTACTACACAATCCATTGTCGCCACCAACAGTTGACGAATCAATTTTATCAAGTTCATGGTTACCAACACAAATATCATCACTAACATTCGAAACAACATTCACTTTAGCCTGTCCATCAATTACATTTGTTGAAGAAAATTTAATATTAGATGTTATTAATCGAAAATCTGATGGTACATTTTTTGGTTCAAAAACAGTCGCTGAACAAACATATGCACATATGGTGAAAGTTAATAATAACAATCGTTCATTACCAATCAGTGAATTTTGGTTTTATCTCTTTGTTTACCATCATTTACCGTCATTATTCAAAAACCATCCAGATTGGTTAAACGAACTTGAAACAACTAGTCATTCATCATCGTCATCGATTTTGGACAAACATGAACAACACAGACGACAATTAATTGCATTAATGAAAAGTTATTGAATTAATAATAGTATTTTATTATCGGGCTACTCTTCTTTTCTTTTTTTTTGTTTTCTGAAAACAACCTAAAATAATTTTTTCTTTGATTCATTCTCGTTTGTTAATGTCTGCGATTGATTTATTTATTGCAAAAAAGCATCGTTTTTTTCTTCGTTTTCACATGACAAGCGGTGGCTGACGTTGTTATTTTGGCATATGCTTTCTGTCTCAGCATCTCGCTTCTTTCTTTTTGCTCAATATATGTGTTTGGATATTTTTTACTTAAAAATGTTTATAATTTTTCTGAAAATATTTGCTGAATAGAAACAAAATTTTATAGATCTATTTTTTACAGGATACTCATGGCAGAGGATTAGAATGTTTAATCATCTACAAACCTTAACGGAAGATTTTTAAATCTTATGAATATCGCTTTCGTACGAGAAAACTGTTAAGAATTCTGGCAGAATAATTGTTCATACTGGTTTGCAGAACATTTGAATTGAAAAATGTTCCGGATATTGTTTGCCTATACATCCGTCTGTCAGATAAAGCAAGGAAGTGTTTGAGTACTTTTTAATTTTCGTTTCGCGAAAACGTTTTGTGTGCTTTGTTGTCAAATCAAGAGCGAAAGTCCGATTAAGTTCCAATTCTAGCCAGAGATGAAACATCGAAAAATAAAATCGATTCATTTTTGTTCAGAATTGCTTGACGTGTTCTCCTATGCGTTTCTGAAAAACTCCGATTTTCATCTAAGAACATTACAAACTTCCGAAAATCGCATTCGATCTGGTTCGAAATTTTACCGTATTTATCGAAGATGAGATCTCAGAATGCAAATTTTTCTTTTTCGTTCCTGATTTTCCTCTTCAAGTATAAAAAAGATGAGAAAAAGCTACCGATTGTTGATTTTAAAAAATCCACAACTCTCGAAGAAAAAATGAAGAAGCATCTAACTATTGAAGCAAAAAAAATTCTGAAAATAACTGACAGAACGTCGCTAAAAAGTTCTAAAGTTTAACAATTTGTAATTAAATCGAGTTGATATGCTTATCGAGTTATGTGAAAGATGGACAAAAAAGGTTATTTCTCCTTATAAAAATGTGTGAAAAAGATTCAGAAAAGAAAAAAAGCATCATATACAAAATATTAGCAGTAACTAGAAGAACAAAGCAATTAAAAGCATATGCAAAATGCAAAAATGACGTTGAGTTGACTAGCACACATGTATACAGCATGGAAGAAAAATATTGCACATAAAATAAATATGGAAAGCATCGATCGTAATGGAAAGCAGACACAATAGACTGAATAAAAAAATTGAAAAATTTACTGGATGAATTTGTAATTGAATCACTCACTGTTGGACGGCTAATTCATTGTACGATGCTATAGTTTCATCGAACGTTTTATTATTGTTGTCTAATCCTATAAACATCACTTCATTATGTCGATTCATTAATTTTGTTGGTAAATCATATGTAGCAGATATAATTTCTTCATGATTAATCGGCACTGAATGAAGGTTTTTCATCAAATCTATACTTTCACGTTTCCAATCGGCCTCCTTGGCAAACCCACTGAATCGTCTAGAAGTAATATAACAGTTTCCTCTTAATCTCTGCTGTTATCTTCATCTTCTTAAATTATTTTGGCATACTTTGAATAAACAATACATTCAGGCTGATTTAATATAAAAACACCTTCAACGGTTGGTTTCGGAGGATTTATTTGATCTTCTTTCTCTAGTACCAACATCAAAGTAAAGTTATTTTCTAGTTTAGATTTTTGTTTTACTTTAACCATGACTGGAAGATAAATTTTCAATATTTTAACTAAAAAGTATATCATGAAGAAGGGAATACTAACTTTCAAAGAATGATAATCACTAACCATCGGAATTTCCTCCTTGCGTGTATTTGACCAGTTTCCATAAGTGAGACATAACAGGTTCATCACCAGTTTTAGCTTCAAATTGGGTAGCAACATAGGACAACGCTGAATATTTTCGTTTTTCATACTCCTAAAAATATACCTTATTTAGTTTTAGTAATTAATCACTTCTTTTCTCTTACTTTATGAGATTCAAGAATTTCATATTTTGGCCAATTTGGATCTGTCATAACGTTTGAATAGGCCGCAGTAGCTGTTCGGAAAAAATTCATCTTCAAAATATTCAAATCTCTCTATTGTTAATGAAGCGAAGTACAGATACATAAGCGGAGAACAAAATATTTGAAATCATGACTTTTAGGTTTGGTATCACTTAACATTTTTTTTCTCCATAGGTAAGAAAAAAACATATTGCGTGTGCACAATCGTGTTTCTACTCTGTTGTGTCACAAGTTCATTCTTATGTAAATAGTTCTCAGAACAGATTGAAATGTACAGATCAAGTGTTTTCATCTTTTCAATGAATAAAGTCGTTAAATCTCAACAAAAGAATGTTCGAAAAATTGTGTATTATGGTCTTTAGTGCTTGAAATTTAGAAATCTTTATGTATGATATCTGATAATTTAATTAAAATTTAACATTCTAAAAAAAGAAAGATGTATACTACTAATAGTAAATGCCTCTAGAAAAATGTGTCATTTTTCGAATTAATTGTATTTTGATAAATAGCTTTTGTACCATTTCGTAAAATTTAGCAGCGTACTTCTCATTTTTTGAATGCAGTTCGATGGGGAGTAATAAAGATTTTATGTTGTGCAAGAGCAGAGTAAATTAGAAAAAGATCTGTGAATGTGTACTAAGTTATCGTTATTTAGAAACATATTATTAATTTCATAAATGAGTTTCAATGTTTCTGAAATGTATGGAACCAAGAGAAAATGTTATATTATCTATTATCAATTATGTGGTGGTTATTCTGATCTGCGCGTGAATTTATTCAAGAAAAACTTTACCACTAAACAATCTCTGTGAATGTGGAAAGCATGAAACTATTGAATATTTTTTCTTAAACTACAACAGATACATTGCTTGGTATGTTGTTATGGAAAAAATTATCAGTGACTCGTTTTCACAAATAAAGAAACCTAAAAGTAGTTTTTCGAAAGAAAATTTTGAGAAAGATGAAGTTCAATAAATATACTGAGCTGTAATATAATATATAAAATCAGCTAAACGTTTTCATCTTTCAATCTTTACCCACGCACATCCTTTTCAATACTCTTCATCTTATCTTACTCTTGGTTCAGATTGTTCTTTTCTATTTATCTATATTCGTCGTTTCTGTTTTTTATTTCATGCAGAAAAGTCCAATGATCGCGATTCCATCTGCCTGGAGGGCTTATTCGTTCTTCTCTTTCTTCGAAATAAATATAGTTTAAACTAAACTAAATAAAGACTGATATTATATCGACATGAGGTGGATCACATGTTCCTACAAAAATCATATTCACTCAATGTGAGTAAAAAAAAAGATAAAGATAGAAAAAACGGTTTGAATGGAATTTGATGTACGGTGATAAACTACAACATTAGCCTGAAAGAAAATCAACAGCAGCAGTTGAGGAAATATAACAACCAATTAGGGTCTAATATTTTTCAACCTCTTTATTTTGCATAAAAAAATAGTTAAAATTTAACCAAATAAATTAGTCTTTTCTCGAAACACGTGTAGACGTCAAATGTTAGATAGATTGAAATTAACAATTTGAATGTAAATTCTGATCAATCTAAAAGTAAAAAATATTTGATATAGATGAAAATGACGCACATTTTCTAAAATATGTGTTATCCTTTACCGTTAAATATAATTATTTAATTTAAAATAATTTCATGTCAGATCAAGTACATTCAATTACTAATTGATTTCTGAAGTAAAATCATCGTTGTTAGATGTTCGGTTGATATATCATATTTATAACTATCATAATTCTTCAAAAGATCCCATTATGCTGCTTTTGCTGATACTAGTAATATTACACCTGCATTTTCTAAAAAAAGATATAAATATCAAGGATGATGATGGATGTGTATCAATTAAAAACATTTAATACAAAAACACTTGAATACAAAAGCGAAGTTTATCAGATATTATTAGTAATTGTCTGTTGTAATAGGACGAACGAAATATTCCACATTCGACTATTCAAATTAGGTATTTTAAGTTATATATGTGACAACTATCAAGTCTTTTGTTTGATTTTCGATTGTTTAGGCAATATTTAATTCTTTTGGATATAGAATATAAAACATATTGTCTGTTTAATGTGTGTGTTTTATTCCATTTTACTTCGTCATTATTTTGTTTGATTTTTCTCATAATACTCCCATTTTTTACAATCGTATATTTATTCTACTAAAATTAAAACATGAATACAATCTTTTTTTACGTCTTACCTTACTCGAATGAATAATGCGCAGTTTAATTGGGTTAATTTTTTATAATGTCATTCTTGTATTTGTTTTATTAAACAGTTAATTGACTGATGTTCGAATGTTTACTATATGCATGAATACCCATGAACACTTGTTTCTTCTTCTTCTACTGTTGAGAAATAGTATTTTGTGCAAGATTGTTGATATACAAGAAAGAGAATATCTATATATTTTAACTTGATGATAAATACTTGCTGTGATTCTATGAATTATTTTTTTTATCGAAAAGTCATTTGCTTTCTGACATTTTGATCAAATCTTCTACAATTTATTTTGTCCATGTTATCAAACCATTAAACTCATGAATAGAAACCTCAACTTGGACACGATGTATCGTTAGCGTATTTGTTAACCATGATCAAATTTCTATCGAGAAAAATACCATTGCTCTGAGTAACAATAATTTTAGATGATTTTATTTTGGATATTTCAATATAAAAGAAACTATAGCCAAAACAATATTTTTGAAGGAAAGATTTTTGATTCGTTAATGAGAAATGAAGACAAATTTAGAACTTTTTTTCAATCTTGAGTTAATCCTCTCCTGCTCGTATTTTAATACACCAATAATATTAATACTTTAGCAAATTTGTCTAGCATTTTGACAAGGTACCACTAGAACTAACTCAAGTTTTTTAAGATTTTCATTAATCCAAAAATTTTCCCATATTTTCATTCTCACTGCATGATATGTTGAACTTTATTCTTAACCATTTTCATTCAAATGCTTCAAAAATCCATTATTCATCTCTTATTGGACCTTATAAGTTTGAAAATTTCAATGGAATACGTATGAAATATAGGTTTGTTGATTTTTTAAACATCTAATATTGTTAAATAACAATCTTGTGGTGGATTTGTGGACATAATATATAAGATGAAAGTGTAAACGAATCGATGTGTACCCCTTAAGAAAAGTTTTTCAAAACAGAATATTCTGTGCCCTCTATTTTCATATAAAGTACTTTTAGCTTGATGTATACGAAAATTGTTTTTTGCTATTTATTGTATTCCTTTCTTCAATTTTATGTGATGATCGATTGTTTAACTGCTTTTTCTCGTTAGAAATGATCGAGTGGGAGGCTTGACATTCAATTTTCTTTTTGTACGTAGAAAAAATGTTACCAAGATTTTCAAATAGACACAACATTTTATTTACACTAATTTTTGTACAATTTTCTTCTTCAGCAAGCGAACGAACAATTATGGCTAGGATTTTTGTATGAGAAAAATGGCAATATACTTGACTGATCGATCCATCATTAAATACTATAACCATATATGTGCATTGTTTGGATATTTTTGACGTCATTTTTATTGTTACAAAAAAGTGATAATCCCAATGACGAAATTTATATGTGTGACTATGCATATAACTTGTGATTGATTTGTGGAAGAAGAAAACAAAAAAACAAAGATAAACAACGAGTAACAAGTTACAAATTACATGTAAGTAAAGAATTTTATACAGTCTTAATAGTCGATCTGATAAATGATTTCAAAAATATGAATTGTACATGATCGTTCATAGAATACAAATAAAAATAAAACATGTTACTTCATTTCTATAACAAGGAAACAATCTCAAAAAAGAGGTTTCACGACTAAAGTATATAGATAATTAACATAGATTCCTATTAAAAGTCTTTCATAACGGTTTATAAATAATTACATAAAATTGATCCCAACCTCAACAACAACAGTATATACGTTTCAAAACAGAATTTCATTAAAAAATATAAATCGTTACCAGTTTCTGATTGACGAAAAATTGTTCTGAAATTATAATCAATTTTAGTTTTCGTGTAAAATGGTGATATTTTCATCTGCTACAGTAAAAAGTCAAAACCAAAATACAACCAAAATTAGGCATTTCTTTTCGATAGAACTCTACAAGGATGAAAAAATATGTTCATTTCATTCAAAAACAAACAGTACAATAACAACAATAACAACAGCAAAAAAACAGAAATGTGCACAAGTATACACACATATCGATACAAAGAGACAATCATCCGTAAATTTCAAATTGTGCATCATCTTTGCCGAATCAACGCCTTAACGGACGCTTCGACGGTGGTTGGCCAAACGAAGGTCTATCATCTCGGGGTGCTGGACGTTTCAAATTTAGTCTCTCACCACTGCCACCACCACCAGTACGTGTTGTGGATGACATTGGACCTCCTCCACTTGGGCGATAATCATTAGATCTACTTGACGTTGACATTGGTTCCATTCCACGATTAGATAACATTTCACCGCGCGATGGCAAACGATGGCTCATATCTCTTTCTCTTGGATCATTAGAGCGCACACCCCGACTAGATAATCCATATGACGATGATGATTGTGGTGGTAATGATCCTCCTGTATTTGTACGATAAAGTTCCCTTCCTGATTGTTGTGATAGGTGATAGTCATTTCCGCGTGAGCCAGTATACATTGAGTGACTATTTCGTGGCAGAGCTATAAGAAGGAATAATAGCATAAGCATAATTACAGAAGGATTTTTCTTGTATACAGGATTTCAAAAAACGATTAATACCATATATATACATTATTTCGATTTCTTCGATGCGAAAAATACCATATCGTTTTTACGGAAAGGAAGTCCAATATGCATTCAGTTGAACTGATTCTTCTATTTATTATCACGATGAAATGAAAATCTATGACTAGTTTCATATTCGGTTTACAATTAGAGTTTCGATATTTCAATTCGATTTTCAGTTGGGTTTGTGTCGATTTTTATATGATACGATATGTAACTTTAACTAATTTGATTTAATTTGCATAGTAAATAAGAATAATCAACAGTCTATTTGTACACAATTCGTGAATAGGATCGTTTTAATATCGATCTCATTGATTCGATTAGCTAAGAAATTGAGACTTTTGTGTCTTACAGTTTCGTCTTTATCTTGAGCGTGATATCTGTGGGAAAAATGTGAGTAAAAGAGGTCAATCCATAGAGAAAAAAACAAGCTTTGATACGCGATGCTTCATTACAAGGCTGCTGTACCAAACAATTTCGCTGGTCTAAAAGTCGTATTAACTGGTGGTCGTAATAAACTGGTATTAAGTAAATTCGTTTGAAGTACAAATAGACCAGATGATTGTAGTTTAATGATATATATTGAACAATTATACAAGCTTATTTATATTATGTAGAAGAGAACAAGACATATGTCTGAAAATGAGTATCGAGGCAAAGTATCTTTCTTCTGAACTATCGTGCAATAGTGGTGCACTCATTTTAACCTGTGTATAAACAATTTTTATATTCAATGAACGGCGTTTCTTTGATCAGCAAGGAGTTACAGAAAAACAAGCAATGAACTGCTCAAAATTTGGGGTTTGTCTTCTATCCATGAACGTTTTTTCAAAAGGCTGGATTCTTTGATCAATAAGCAATGAATATTTTGAAATTAAACAAAATTTGTTCGAGGATAGTTAATTGTATCATTGTAGATATAATTTATGTATAACGGCTTGTTTTTCGAAAATTCTTAGGATCGATATTTTGAACTGGATACACGGAATAATTTTTGTCTGAGATCGATACGGCCTGTTGATGGATAGTGATTGGACATTCACCTTTCAGAATAATAGAAGTTTTATTATTCAAATCTCTATGTTTTTGGGCTTGTGTTGTCTTCGAGTAGATCAGCGCTGTGTCTCAATATTGTCAAACACAAGGTCAGAAAAAGTTAAATAAATTGCTTGTGTATGATAATGATCAGGATCTGACTTGGAAAGATTTCAAGCTTTTATCACTTATTTTCCTTCAATTATTTGATGGTCGATTCTGGTACAGTAATAGTTTTTTTCTTCTTTATTTTTCAAATGTGATGAATATTTATTGAACTGCTTTTTCTTCTTCTTTTGTAATCAGATATTCTTTGTTTTATTATTGAAAAAATATTTTAGATTTCTTTTCAAGTTTGATATACAAATTCATTATTATCATAATATAACGTAGAGAGGTCGGTAATGGGAAATGGAGTCTCCTTTATAACCAAAAAGAAAAATCTTCTTTTCGACTTACGTGCATCATATAAGTCATTACGATATTGTTCACGTGAATTCAAATATGGATCTCTTGGAACAGACGACGATGATAATGCAAAATCGCGTAAATATGGATCATTATTATTTCGCATTGGAATATCTCTTGACGATGTGGAAAAATACGGATCATTACGAGAATATGTTTGCGGAGCATCGTTTCTTCGACTACAAGAGAAAACGTTATTTAACGTGCACACTAAAAAATACACATTTACCTATACGATGCGTATTTTGATTCCATCGGTTCTCTCATAGTGTAGGGTGAGGGACCTGAACGTTCACGAGGCATAGATATTGGATGCGACGGCATTGGTGGTGGTAAAGGTGCTGAAGGTAATGATTGTTGTACTGATTCATACATATCAACTCGGCTATGTGGTGCCGACCGACTCTATCCGCGAAAACAGGAAATTATTATTCTACATATAACTTTAGTTTTGTATAATACTCACATCATAACGAGATGGTGGGGGACTTGAATCATAATAGGATGGCGCTGAATCTCTTGAATCTCCACCGCGTATATTCGAAGACTGTCGTCCTTGAGATATAAAACCGTTGTTATTATAACTGGAATTGTGGCCACGTGAATTCATTGGACGATAACCGGATGACATTCTTGAACCGCCACCGCGCGACATCCGTGGATCCCCACCACGCGAAGACGATTGAGATTGTTGAGGTGGTGGTGGTCGGCTTCCACGACTGCCATGAGAAGATGAATAGGGAAGACGATTACTGAAAGAAAAATATGGCTTGTTTTTCAAACATTAGATAGCAAAACAAACCTAATTTGCATTGCTGCCAATGCATTAAAACTTTTGGCTTACCGATAACCACCACGCGTTTGAGGGGGTCCATCACGATTAAAACTGCTATCATTGTCACGATAACGACTCTTCATTGAATTACGTTCATCTCGAGAATTCCGATCCATTTCAACTGGCATCAACTGATCGTTTTTAAATCTAAAATTAAGGAATATTACGAATGAAGATTCTTTATTATACTGGTAAAAGTCGATTTAAAGATAACACCATTGAGCACCCAAGCAGACAAACATTTGGAAAAATGCGTTTAAACGCTCAAAAGGGAACCGCGATTGTGAGTCAGTAACGCTCATTAAAAAAACGCAAGAAACGCGTTTTTTTAATGAGCGTTACTGACTCACAATCGCGGT